GTCTGGATCAGGGTAAGTGAAGTGTACCTGTCTGGATCAGGGTAAATGAAGTGTACTTGGCTAGATCAGGGTAAATGAAGTGTACCTGGCTGGATCAGGGTAAATGAAGTGTACCTGGCTGGATCAGGGTAAATAGGGTGGTCTCTTGACCCCGACATGTCGTAGCGAGACAATGATAACAGAGATGATTCCAACAGTCGCCTGGATAAAAGAAAACAGAAGGACAGGTGTCATAAGAGAGATACTTAAATGTTAATGGTAAAACTTACCGTGTGTGGCTTAAAGTAGATGTTCAACAGCATATATGGTCCACAGGCTATGAAACAAATAAGTCAAGACTCAGATTAACCCAAAGCCACTGAAAGACACAAAGACTGTACCTCCTCAGAGAGTCCTCATCGGGGGGGTCAACAGGCATTTCTTGGCTTAAGGCGTCTGGTGGCTCCGCCGATCTGCCGGCAGCGGCCTGCCGGTACACCCTCTCCCACTGCGCTGTGTCCTGGTTGTACACCAAGCCCACGGTCTGCTCTCCAGTCTGGGTGGGGGTCGGGGCTATCGGGAAGGCCACAGTTCCTCCACCACCACCAGGGGGAGGAGGCTGCTCGCTGGGCTCTGGCGGCACCCTACTCTCCGGGGTTTCTAGTGTCCTCCTGCTCTCCTCGGGCTGCCAAGGGGAAGAAGAAGATGAAGGAAAAGCGGAGGAAGAAGAAGAAGAGGAGGAGGGCTCCAGAGTGGAGGCAGAGGTGGAGGAGGCCTGGTTGGTTCGCTCCCAGCGCTGAGAGTCATGGTTGAAGGTCAGCAGGTTGTGGCAGGCCCGGCAGCGGTTCAGGTGTCCCCGGGAGGCCGGGGGAGGAACATTGTTCTCCAGGTTGTGTGGGGCAGGAGGAGGTGGGAGAGGAGGCTGGTAGTGGATGATAGTAGGGGAGGAGGTGGAGGTTGATGAGGAAGGCCCAGGTCTATCTGGGTCCATGTTATTATTCAACAGCTCTTGGTTCTGCTCTTGACTCCCGTCCGCCATGCCGCCGCCGCCCCCTAGTGGCGGCTCCAGGTCCTGCATGCGGTCGAACTCCATGAAGTAGCGGCTCAGGTTGCACTGCAGCACGTTGCGGAACGAGGCCGTGTTGCCGCGAGAGCCGTCCCAGAACGGGTGATGCCCGCTGCTCGTGCCGGCGGTGTCCCGGCTCCCGGGCGGCTCCCCTTGTTGGGGGAAACCCCGTCCTTCAGAGGCAGAGGTGTAGACGGGGGAGTGGGAGGAGCCGTCCTGCTGACGGAGCACCGACAGCAGGCTGATGGAGGACGAGGAGGTCCTGGGAGGCAGCATACCCGGACCGACACCACCTTCCCTCATACTCAGCAGGTTGCGCGTCCAGTCGGGTCCCGGTCTCGGGGTGGAGTGCGACTCGCCGATGCTCGGCGCGGGGGGG